GAGGATCTAGCTCTCTTCATTCAGAATTTTCTTGCCTAGTTGCCAAAAATTCGATATTTCTCGTAAACCAGCTGCTGTAAAAAGCTGAAAATTCACATTCACGCTTCTAAGGTCCTGTAGTATACAACTGTCAGTGCTAGAACATCTCAGCATTATTTTGATAAAAACATGAAAAACTTCGTTTTCTCAATTTCTAGCTGAGAGAAAAATACAGCAAATGCATAGAGGAATGTCTTATACGAAATGACAATGCATGAGCAAGTTAGAAATTTTAAAGGATTTTTCCGAACTGACTTTCAGTTTTTTCTTGGTTTTTTGAGGCGCTTGGATCTTTTTCGTTTTTGGTTTCAATCTTCGCTTGGGACAAAGCTGCTGCAAATCTTTAAGCACTATCTTGTAGAGCTAGGTTTGCTCTTTCTGCTGATATATATTATAGAATCTTACTTGGGATATAGGATTATTCCGAGTTATTGCGGTCTGTACCTATTTTGGTGCAGGAATTATGCATCAACCTAATAAAATATTATAGAAATTTCGGTACTCTCCCGTTATCCGGACTCATGTTTTCAGAATGTTTTCGTAAAATACCTGCTTCAGCCTGAAATTCTTTTTCGTAGATCTTGTGAGGACTGCCTCCTTGCCACGTGTCAAGATAAAGATTAAACGTTTGGGACCAGTTTGACATGTTTTTCAATCAATTTCGGTTAAGGGCCGGGCATACTTCACGCGATTTCAGTCGCGACGCGATTTGGCAATACTCCAGCTGTCTATAACTTACTGTAAGCACATTTTAAATGTACAGAAGATACGGTATTTTATCAATCCACGTGAGTTGTACATACTGTGCATGTGCAGTTTGCTAGTGTTGGATCTGAAGACTTCTGGCGAACTGCCAAATCGCGCCGCGACGAAATCGCGTGAAGTATGAACGGCCCTCTAGGTACAATGCAGCCCCTAACTCGCGTAAAATTTTTAATTTTAATTTTTTTTTTTAAATTTTTGTCTATAAGCAGAGTTATGACGGTGCGACGTATCTGTCGCGGCGTAACCGTCGAATTTTCGGCAACGACGGATTTGTTGCGTCGGAACCGTCGACTTTTGGCAAATTGGTCTACGTAATTTATTTTGTAGATTTATTATGTTGCTGAAATCAGTGGTTGGTAGTCATGGTGGTAGTGAAAATAAACTTTCATCTACTTTGATCTAGAAAGAGTTATTTCTTTGTGACGGTTTCACACACAATCATTCCGTCGCGACCATTCTAAAACGGGAGGCGTGCAAGTGTTACCCAGGCAGCCGCCTGGTGCCGCAGCCAGCCGCCAGAGCTGGCACCAACGCCGCAGTTGAGCTACCGTAAGCGCGCTCTCGTCGTCGTCAACCTCTCGCAGAGAGATTTGTGCATACGTAGAAAATTTCTGCTACATACAGTAGTTAAATTTTCAAAAGAATGCGATTACTCGCGCTCAAATTCTAGCCAAAAAAGTAAGTGCAATGAAATTCTGGTTTCGAGTGCGGTTAAATGAAGCTCTATATATTTTTAACCATTGAGGCTAGAAGCTTCTTTCAACCACCATCGAATAGAGCATGAAAGAAGCTTCTTTAAGGTATGCTGTGTAAGTTTTATAGGAGAAACTCCGATGGAGAAAAGCTGTCTTGAAACAAGGGCTAGAAAAACGCGCATTACTTTTGCACCAACCTAATAATAAACTAAAAATTTTCTGCTCTCTTGATCGATATATAATATGTGGGAGTAGCGCGACCTCTGAGGGAATTCTCGCACCTCAGCGCGATGAGCTGCGAGGCTGCTGCGAAAATCTCTCTGCGAGAGGTTGACGACGACGAGAGCGCGCTTACGGTAGCTCAACTGCGGCGTTGGTGCCAGCTCTGGCGGCTGGCTGCGGCACCAGGCGGCTGGCTGCGGCACCAGGCGGCTGCCTGGGTAACACTTGCTACGCACCCTTCTAAAACAATTTAAGAAAAGTTTTTCTCAAACAAATTTATATTTTTTAGCCGTCATTCCAGTGGTATTCCGAATATGAAACTAAAAATTGAAAAAAGTACTTTTCAATAAAGTTATGAGCTTGCGACGTTTTCGTCACAGATCAATCCGTCGCCGCCCCACTGAAGCAGTTAGGAAGATGTGTTTTGAGAAAATTTTTTTGTTCTTAGAATCGTCTTTTTCTAAGCTTTCCAAAAATCTCATAAGATTTGCAAAAAACTTATTCTGAAACATTCTATGAGCTTCCGACGATTTTTTGTTGATTTATCTGCCGCGGCGGAAAAATCCATCGCCTGGCGTTTTTTTTACGCGAGTTAGGGGCTGCATTGTACAAGAGCATTTGAAATGACTCGAAAGCTGTTTAGGGTTTTCTTCAAAGGCAGTGTCCAGGAAAATCTGGTCGCATGGCTCTTTTGCCTGGAAATTGGTGAGGGTGCCCACACTAAGGCACTGCCCAAGGGGTAGCGCAAACCCCGCGCCTGCGTAGCCCGAAAACGACTTCGCTCACTTTAACACTACCTTCGCGCTACCAATTCGAAGTATTACGGTCACGGCGCAGCAGCGGAGTGTTTGTGGTGGATTTCTCAGCCATGAATGAATTATTTGCGCTGCGGTTTGGCCAGTGCCTTAGCTAGAGCCCCTCAACAGTTTTTCGGCAAAAACCCATATGCCCAGATTTGCCTAGACACTGCCTTTAATATGAGCAAAACATTTGAACGTTAACTAAAACATCTTGGTAGCTTTCAGCGATCATTTGAAAAAACCCTGCTCTTCACTTTGTTTCTACCATGCAATTTAGCCGAGAATATAAATGATGCCTTGAAGTATCGTCCCCTCCACAGCTCGTGCTACCCTTGTGGCGTCGCGGACGTGCTACGTGTGACTGGCAACGTTGGCAGTTGGCAACATGCAGCAACATGTTGGAGTGGCCAAAATGTTCTGCCAACATGTTGTGGCATGTTGCAAACATGTTGTTGCCACGTTGCCAACATGTTAGCCACATGTGACAGGTCTGAGACGCAGACCAAGGGCAGCACGAGCTGTGGAGGGGACTATACCTGGCGGCTATATACCCTTCGGCACCGCCCGCTACATCCTGACACTAATTACTCTACCCAGGGCGCTAGTTACTCTGTCTTTACAATCTAGCAGAGATTTCATATGCTTTCTGAGTATTATTGGAATACTAATTCTGAGTCTTCCAAATCAAGCGAGTGCATATTATCGGACAATACAATGACATTGTTTGAGATGAACAGATTTTCAAAAGGTTGAAATTTTTCAGTCACCATCTTGTGATATCCTTCCTCCCCTTCCCCATTTCACAAACCACCGCAAAATCTGCACGTGTAACCTACATATCTAACCCACCCAGGTGTAACATTTTTATGCTCATGTTAAATCGAAATAATCTTTGTTTTTTTTTTTTTGGGAGAGCGCTTCTGTGTAACTCGTGCAATTCAGACGCCTTCGTTCTTACGACAGCCTAGTTCTCTCATTTACCGAATCGCGGCAGCCCCTACCAATCAGAGGCGTGCAGTAACTAGGCTGCCAAGGTTAGCGGTGCAGAAGGGCCGTTGGCCGTCTTCCATATCTGGCCGCCTGTTTCGTTGTGTAGATGATAGAACAAACCACAGTTCTGTTTTGAAAAAACCCAATGTATTTATTAAACACAGAATGTCATTTTCATTTTGCTAAACTCATTCATGAAACTGTTGACTAAGCAGGGAACGATACTTGGTGACCCCGGCCATTCATAACGATTTGTATGTCAGAAAATGCGCCTTTTGATGCTGGTTCGAATACTGCTTTCCATATCTGCGAAACGAGAACCTGGATGGAGTTATATTTATTTTTTCAAAAATGAATTGCACTTCTGCGGAGGGTGAAAATCATTAATAAAAATTTTTCTTTCCTCTTCAAATGCTGAATATGATTTAGATAGGTATAAATACAACGTTGGGGGACGAGTGGCGTAGTGGTATGAGGCGCCGCTATGACCAGATCGGACCGGTTCGATCCCCCTAGACCAACCAAGCCCTCCACCCCCCGGGGCCGGTAAATTGGTACCAGAATAATCTGGGAGGATGAAAGCACTGACCTGGAAACGGCTGGCCCCCGCAAGTCACTGTAATAGGCTCGCACGCACACAATTGCCTCTTCGACCATGAAGTTAGTGTGTGCGTTCGGCGCATGCCCTCGGAGGTATTGAAGACGCCGAATTCTTTATCCTTTATCCTAAATACAACGTTACACCCTTCAAGATTCTCCTCACTAGCTTCAAACGGTAAAATATATCAAATTGGGTGATTTTAACTACCTAAAAGTACGCAAATTTTCTACGGAAAGTTCATAACTGCCTTTATATGATCGTTTCGCAGATTTCGAGCACAGATTTAGAATCAGCGTTTCGAGGTGCACCTTATGATATACATCGCATTCCAAATGGCCGGGGTCACCAAGTATCCTTTCCTTTCCTTTCCTTGTAAGATCGGGGTCATTATTGAATAAGCATATTAAACTTACATTGATGAGTAGATTAAATAAACGCTCAATAAAATTCCTAAACATGTGAATGACATGCCATTTTTTGACATGTTTATCATGTTTTTTGACATGTAGCAGAAGGTTATCTCTCCATGAAGTTTTACCAAATTGGTACAGGAAAAGAAGCAACATCCTTTTTCAATGAATCCGAATAACGGATAAGTACCGAAATTCCTTTCTTTGTCGAAGGGATATTGTGTGGTAATTACTTTGGGCAAAAAAAGCTGTAACATTCAGTCACGCAAATGCAGTGTGAGTTTCTAGTGGTTGAAACATGTATTGTGGCCTTTGAAAGAGTGCTTTTTACATGTGATTGTAATCGACACACTTTTTCTTCTTGATTTTATGCTGCAACGCTAGATATACGTTCACTATAGACCATTTGCCGCACTTTTATTTCTTTTTCTATATCGAATCAAAGTACGCATGTCAAATATCATACACAATTGAACTTCATCTTTTACTCTGCAAAACTCTCCCCTCTCTTGCATTTGTGCTCTATACATGTACAATTGCCTATATTTGGCACCGGATGCAGACAATCCACCGATTGTGCGTAATAATTGCGTAGCATTTGCATCCGTTCAACAAGATCGGGAGTGGCTCCAGTGAAACGTGGTCGACGATGTGCTTCCGAGAGGCATTCCATAACTAGGGACCATCTGAAAAAAATATGCACTTTAACGATGGTTCTTTCACTTCTATCCCAACGGGAGAAAGAGGTGAATTGAATTGGATAAATAAACTCACACATCTAGAGGGCATCCTTGTGGGCATGTAAGACCCCGATCAGGAAGACGGAAACATCTGTAAAGTTCTCAGATGATAAATTGGAGCGTTATTCACTCATCTAATTTCTGACCGCTGGATTTCCTCGGTAGTCCTCTGATAGTGCGGCTCGGCCCCCAGTGTCATACATTCCCAGCACAATAACCCGAACATCCTGCAACGTATTTAGATAAAATCAAATTGGCACATCTTACTTACCAAATATCGCCTTCTTGTCGAAATTTTGGATTTCGTTCTGCAGAACATACAATTTCTGGAGGGAGCCTGGACGGTGTGGGTGGGTAGAGACTGCTGAGTTTGACTATGCATCTGGAAATGGGCCAGAAGTTATTCGGGAAAAGACAACTTGTAATTTTGAAGTTAATCTTGCAAGGGTCCTAAATATGTGTCTCCCAAATATGGTATTGTGACCTAGAATTGGGAAGGAAGGAGGAAAAAGAAGAACAGAAGAAAAGAGACCAATATTTCGCAGTCTTTTTACTTATTAGGGTGAACGTTAAAAAGTGGGACACTTACGAAATAACTGGAGGTTTCTCAAGAGTGAGAAGCGATTAGACTTTTCAATTTTGATAGATGTTAGATTATGTTATTCTCTTGCAGATAATACCTATATAAGGTCATTTACATAATTAATAACTTTTATACTTACTGAAATGCAAAATCAGTCACCTCGATAAATTATGAAGTTTGAGCAGTATCTGCGCAGTGAAACATGTGAGACCACCCAAAGTACCACTGCTGGAGTGGGTGGTGGGACAGTCACTAAATCCACGACGGCTTGGTGGCCTCAGCTTGCAAAGTCAGGAGATATAGCCATTAGCAGCTTTGAGAACATAGATGCGCGTTATTCAATTCCTTCCAGGTGAATGCATGTTTTCTAGGTACCATCTGATAGAGCTTTTTACGCTCTATCCATCCATTTGCAACTTACCTCAGATTTTATTTATCTTCGGAAAATATTGGGCGAAACAGGATTTTTTTGGTTTTTTATTGTGCCAAAAATAGCCACTTTTCAAGTTTTTTCGCTTTTTTTCTAAAATTGAAAGAAAGTCTTATGCATTTAACATATCATTTGAAAGAGCATGAAAAGCTCTTTCGAATGGTATGTCATATACTTTACGACCTTACGGTATAGCAGCGCAAGATTGAGAATTGTTCCAAAGACCCTGTCTGAGTTCTTCACGGCGCCACGAGTACGGTTATGAGAGAGGAGCGGTAACGCGTTGCCAGAATAATAGGCGAAGATCGTTTATGTAAGCGACATTTAAGTTGTAGCCTGTTGTTGTTGGTGGGAACAAAAAACCTCAAAATGTAAAAAAAAACCAAGCTGTCCCATTTTTTACCGTTCACCCTAATACAAGCATTCTTACTAAATCATTTATCTAAACAAAAAATCTCTGACAAGGAAAGGACGGTTGGTCAATGTGGGTGCTGGGGCCGCCGAATATACCATCTTGAAGTCTTAAAATGCTGTTTTATCTGTTTGCCTTATCTGCGAAGCGTTCCTGCGCGAAAAGTTATGAGCGTTTATTGGACAAAAAATCGAATGTGTAAGTAGATTAAAAATAGTCGTACCTTTTTTCTTAGCTTTTGAATGGAGCATTTATGATTATCAGAAAACTTCAAGCAATAAAAACTTTCAGTTGAATTACCACACTCCACTGCCTCATTTAAGCAAGCGCAAGAAAAATTTTGGCGACGGATTTTATCCTATAAAATCATTCAATTTTTTTCGCACTAAATGCTCATAACTTTCGTCCGTCAATGCTCCGCAGTTAAAGAAGGCAGATTTAGAGTCAGCGTTTTATGCTCTCCAAGATGGCATATGTTCCGTCTCAAAAGGCCACTCCAACCATTCTTCCCTTGCGAGGACTCGTTTTCACGCTTTTGATTTGCCCTATCTTACTTTCTAGATATTCTGCACCTTCCAGCTTTATTTTCCTAAAAATCTCTCTATATATTGTCGAGTATGACGGCATCTAGAATCTGAATTTGAATTCCAATAAACTAGTAATTGGCAGCCCGCATCGAAAAATTTGTATACCTTCGCAAATCCTTAGTGGTCATTTGCACATTTTGTGTGGTCACAGCTCCATGAGCGAAGTCCCCGAGCGTTTCATGAAAGTGTTTCAGAGCAGCACTTATTTGTGCTAACACTTCAAGCATATCCTTCAGCTGAATCATTGGTCGCTCGCGCTCTTCTCGATCCTGGAATCACAAAATTTGGTGTAACGTTGCTTTTTCCAAATTTTACTTACGAACTCGTATCTGTTGCTGTAGATATTCAGCAAGTGTTCCACCAGCAAGCCATTCAACAGCTATGGCCGGACGCAGGACCGAGAACGACAAGTGAGAAACGGCAAGGATTTTTGTAACATTTGGATGCGATAGACGGCAGATTCGAGCTGTTTCTTCCAAGAGAGCCACGCTGTGTTTAGGATTTGGATAGCTGACCTGGAACGAAATTTTAGTCCCATCACAATAAGTTTTGTTATCAATACCTTTACAGCAACAGGTACTCTCTCATTTGTGCGATGTTTTACCCGTGGCACAATGGCCCCACGAAAGAGAGTGCCTTGAGCCGTATGGGCTAATGGTGTGCCAAAAATCTCGATACAGTTGTCCTCAACAATATAGCGCGATAACTCTGAAGAGAGGGAAGTCTAATTATGTACCAGTAGTAGCTAATACATTGAGTATCTACCTCGTTTCAGTGATTTTAGCTGTTTTTGATAGGGAAAGAGATTATCGGGGACTGGAAGACACATCTTGTTCCCGTCTAAAACAAACTTTTCTATTTCTTCTACAAAAGAGATTCAATGAGATTTTTTGAGTATGAGCTTTTATCTGGGGAGATTTTCTTGTACGTTCTGTTAAAGAGATAAATTTAGACAATTTTAGACAATTTTCGTTATCTCCAGTAATTGAGAAGCATAGCATAATGGCAAACATACTGTGATTCTGAAAATCGAATCTCGCATATGGCATTTCTAGGTATGATCTGCTAGTTCTGAAGTGCCACGAGTCAAAATCATGAAACTTATCAGTCGTTAGATATTCAATTGCTTGATTTCTACTTTATATTCTGGTTAAGCCAGTTTTTTGTCGTGGGTTTTCACAAAACTTTGTTGCAAATCAGACGTTTGGCACAAAAAGCCTTTCGAAAACTTACTCTTGCATATCCATAAAATGATCAGAATGTAGCAAGTAGTCAGCGCAATAACCGTTGCCCAAGGTGTCATGTAAGAGACTGAGCATTGGTCTGTGACCAACTCATCAGCTTGCACCATCTTGTGAAGACTGAAATGCAATAAAAGGATGTAAAAATTATCTCAACAATACAAGCTGAGATTTAGCGTTCTATACGAAGGGTACATAGCAAATTCAAAGCATGGCATGCAAACACCATTCAACAGCAGTAAAGGCAAACTTGTTTGTTGCAGATATACGGGTAAATTCAAATATCTATTTTCAAAATAATTCAATTTTGATTTCCATTTCATATTTGCAAAGCTAGGGCATTCATTCGAATGTGTTTTGAGAGTTTCCATAAAGAATTTGCAGATTGCAGTGGCGGACCAAAAGCGGAAGCCCTTCCCTCGAAAATAGATCGCGAGATTCTCAAGGTAGCCTACATGGGTTATAAATGTGCGAGTGACTTGTTTGTTGTTTCTCCTCAAAAATGATTGAAATCTCCCAAGGAAAACCAAAAATTCAAAGTAGCTGTGTAAAAAAGCATCATTACGCCCTCTTTCTGCAAAATTTGGGGTTATAGGCTTGCAAAAAATTTAAAAGGCATCGCAAATATTGGAGGGCGTGGCCTACACTTTCATGCATTTATAAAAGCACGTCTTGATCTGGGGGGGGGGGGGGGGGGGAAGTATATTGTATAGTGTGTTTTTAATATTATCATACTGCTTTTCCAAACCTTTACTTTTACTTGAATCTTATGGTGTTATAGAAAACGAATTTTTCCAGTCTTCGAATGAAATTTCGCTTGAGTGAAAATGTCTATATTTCTACTTTTATATGATCTACGTTTGCAGACTGGACTGTATACAAGCAGTGCACTATTCCAGATATAATTGTGGGAAGCGTCATTCTTGATTGGTTCGAGCCGCGATTTGCAAATACTTCAAAAATTCCTAGTGTTTTTATTTAGTTTTTCAAGATAAAAATGAGAATAATCCCAAGCGATACCTCCAAGGGCCGCATGCACTACCATCCCCGCTGGGGAGGGGATCGCAGCTTAAAAGAAAGCTTTATATTTCGAAACTCCAGATACCTGAATTTCACGTTGTGTACCTCTTCGTAAGTATTCCTACTACCCTTCACTTTGAACATGTTGAAGAGGAGCGAGGAGCTGTACGAACCGCATTTTCCAGCTTTTGTGTGATTCCTGATGATCCCCGGCGCTTTTCTTTAAAGTCATTTTTTCTCCGAAGTTAACGAAAAACCTCCAAAGTTGTGTAGATTATCCAACCCGACAGTGCTAAGCATGTTGCCGATAAGAACGAATGATGTTTTGAAGTCATGAAATTTCGATGATTCACAGGTCAAAATTTGAGGTTTACCGAAAAATTCGACTTTTCAAAAACTCATTTGTTCTCATCAGCAACATGCTTAGCACTGTTGTGTTAGATGTTCAGTACAGTATGTTCAGTACTTTGGAAAGTTTTCGTTAACTTCGGACGAAGAAAAATGACTTTAAAGAAAAGCGCCGGTGGATCATCAGGGATCATACAAAAGCTGGAAAATGCGGTTCGTACAGCCTCTCGCTCCTCTTCAACATGTTCACAGTGAAGGGTAGTAGGAATACTTACGGATAGGTACACGTGAAATCCAGGTATCTGGAGTTTCGAAATATAAAGCTTTCTTTTAAGCTGCGATCCCCTCCCCAGCGGTGAGGTTAGTGCATGCGGCCCCAAGACTAACACTAGTGCCCTTTAATAAGACAGCGTAAAAGAGAAAAGATAGATTGAGAGAGCGATTGAGAGCTCTAGATCGTTAACAGATTAAGATTTTGCTTGATCTACGCATCAGACTGTGAGTAGTTAAATATGTTGCGATGTAATCCACGCAATTTAAGAGTTGAAAAAAAAAGCAAAAACAATAAAAAAAACAACAGTTTCATCCTTAGTTCGACTGCACATGTGAAAGCCTACTAAAAAAACCAAAAACGATGTCTGCAAAAAACTATTAAAGGAGCAGAAAGTAAAAATACATCACAATGGCTGCGAACAGCATTTAAAGCGTCTCACGCACATTGCTAAAGACAGGTTTTGGAAGAGACAACGATCAATACCGTCGATCTTCTTCTTGACATCACTGCTGAAACACTGGTAATATTGTAGGAAAGACGTCTAAAGCCTTATATGGGCCGTGTTTCTTCAGTAAATTTCGCCTATAATTTGTGGATGCAACTTATCGGAAGGAACGGCCCTGATTTTTATGGCAAGAACGGATATTGTTGAGGATGCGCAATTTTTTAGAGTTTTTTGCTGAACTCCCACAACATCCAGAAAAATACTACAGATAAGATGAACATGCAAGTTTCTTCACCACATAAATGATTCGCACAAAAAAATTTTTTTCGGCATCTCTTGTGGAACATCGATGGCATTGTTCAAAAAGGGTAATCACACTAGTTTTTAATTTCAGGATTAATAAGCTTTGTTTGGGGAAATAATCCTGATACCCAAATTTCCAACCAGGTTCTCACTCGATCAGAGTTTCGGACTTCCTTTCAAAAATTTTGAAATAGTTATTTTCAATGACTACAAAAATATTAGGTTGATGCACAATTCTTGCAGCAAAAAATAGAAGAAAATTGTTTTAAAAATGCTTAAACAGACCGATCAATTTACAGAAAATGCTTATTGTTATGCATATCAAAGATAGTATTTTATAGTACATTTTAGAAAAACGACATGAAATAAAATCAATAGATCAATTTTGAAATATCGATTCGTAACTATTTGCAGAGACATCCAATCACTACCAGATTCTCTTTGGAAAGAGTATGCCACAAAACTAACATTCAAAGATAAATTTGATTTTTAGTAGGCGATTTAGCAATTTTATTGACCAAAAATGGAAAAATCACTTTTGCATTTCTCTAAATTACTTTATATCGTTGCCATATGCCCTCAAGGAATTTTGACTCAACCACTCCCAAGAAGCGCAAGGCTTTCTCTCCCTATTATGTTTCAAACCAGGAAACTTCATTGAAGCTGGATGAAGTAACAGAATTGGTGCAAGAATTATGCACCAACCTAATAGAAGTCGACCAAATTCACGTATTTCCCAATCGGTCTGTTTATGATGGTGCCGCGCAAAATACTTTTTGTGGTTCCAGCTAAGAAATGGTAGTTGTCTAATAGCTAATTCCTTCAAAGGATTGCAAAAGAGATTAGGATACTAGAGATATTGCGGATAGATAGAAGAGCTTTAAAACCAAAAATCTAAAGTATAAGGATAAAGTTTTCTTCTTAGCACCCTTCCCCGGCGGGGTTAACACGGGAATCACGTTGTTTACATCACGCAGCTCGTTCTCCTTGAGCTTATCTGTGAACGAAGTATCAATAATGCCTCAGTTAGATAGTTTCTGAATCGTTTCCAGGACTGTTTACATACAATACCATGTGTCCGACAATTACGTTAAAAAATTCAAACGCAAAATTTGCTTATCAGACTAAAACGATAATTATAAAAGCTTGGTAACATCATTCTATTCTCTGTTCATCCAGTGAACTTCATCCAGTGCTGAACTGTCCCGACATAAGCTTTGCTACAAAAATTTGTAAACGTAACGTTAAAATTTATGGCATCCCCAAGCTTCAAACAATCATCATATCTGAAATCCGAAAAAAAAATTTCGTATTTTTGGCCTATTATTTTTCAATGTAGCCACTAAAATATACGGCCAATGCATGAATGTTTGATGTGGATATTGTAGGTGACAAGACAAAGGTAGCAGACCTTTCCAAACGGGATTCTGGATCATGAGCTCAAGAAAGTTCTCACGAAGGAAAGATACCAAGTTGCAGTGGCGAACCGAAATGATATGCATATCATCAGAAGCGTTTTAATGAACTGATTCCAAATTTACCTTTCTTAATTGCTGAGCGTTTCCCTAGAAGAAGCTATGGGCGGTTAAATATGGGAACTTATTGGGGTTTTGATGGGTAATGTGCTTTGAAACCAGCTTGGGAGTGATTAATTGGCATGGTTTCAAATGCATTGGCTACAAGGAATACATATATACAACGAACTCATAAATAAGTGTTTTTGAACTATTTTTTGAAGATGTGGCGCTGAATGCGTGCCAATCTCGGACAACCAACGTTCACAACTTCTTCCAGAAAACAGCTTAGTAGATATGGAAGTTAGATTTGGGATCAGCTCATTAAGATGCATCTAACGATATGCATATCATTTCGGTTCGCCACTGCGATCCTTTCCTTGTCAGATTCTTCCAGACTTCGCGTAAATCGAACTTTTTTGATTGTTCAATTGCAATGTTGTGAAGCTTTCTTTGCTCTATCGAATGGAATGTCCCATTCTCAATACTTCCTGCACCGCGGCAGAATAAGGAACGTTCATTACTTTTGCACCAACCTAAGACCAGGGCCGGCGATCGCCGTGTGGAGTGCAAGAGCAAGGCCTGATAAGCCTGCTTCTGAGGGGAAACGTTTGTCTTACCCGCACCAAGAAGAGAAGAAGAAAGCCTTGCACGGAATCCCGCCTACGGCGCGTGTGTAACAAGAATGATGTCAGGTCGCTCGGGGCGCCATCTGACTTATATAAAAGCACGTCTGCTTTAGTACGGCTTGAGGGATGCTTCATGCTGTGCATCAACAACACCAGGACAGTCTCCACAAGCCGAATTTGACGCTCTTCTCGATGCTGCAGAGCACATCACCTCTTCATCGCTCTGCAGGAAACGATGACCGGAAAGAGAAGGACATGCGACAGACAGTGATCGGACCCTCATCAATCTAGGTGAGAGAGTTCCATCACGAAACGTTGGAGGTGACGACTTCGTCGTCCACCCATTTATTGTCCATCTGGTCGATTAGACCCTATCACTAGCTATCACGCCTACTTCTCCACGTCAGAAGACTGTTAGCAACTGCTACTGCTACTCTCCAGCATCAACTGAAGACGAAATGGAATTGAATGTTTCCTACGAAGACGTGAAGGAAGTCGCCCGCAAGGAGAACCTACGATTGATGTGGGGGGGGGGACTTTGATGCGAAAATCGGGGTACCACTAGAAGGGGAATAGAATCGTGAAACAAGGATATAGGCTCCGGAACGA